TCCAGTTAAAAATGCCTAACGAGCGTGGATGGTTTCACTACCTGGCCTTTGCTCAGGCCTTTTGGAGTCTATTTGATAACCCAGAGATACATCAGTTTTATTTCCCCCTTTTCTTTGCTTTTCTCTTTTGACTTTTCTGTTTTGTGTCCTGTTAGGGGTTTTTTAATAGCCTCCGAACTGAACTTGCAGAATACCCGGGTATAGTAGTTTCTACCGTTTGCCCTGGACCTGTGCATTCACGTGTGGTGGAAAATGCCATGGCTGAAGATGTCACAAAGGTAACAGTTTCCAGTTGCAGCCTCATTGAAATGATTTACTCCTTATGTTGGTGTTGTATCAGTGTGTATCAGGGATTTTAGGCCAGAACTGTTTATGATTCACTGACCGTGCTTAACGTGTGGGCTGTTAAAGTTCACGAAAGTTAGCTAGTACTGTTTGTTACTCAGTTTTAATAAGAGTAATGATGATTTTAAGATCCCACTTTATGCTAGCTTATTATTATGTGGCCACTATTACATAATGGTTTTCTCACTATTTAGAAACTCTGTTTATTTCCTCCCATTTCATCCCATGATCTTTCTGTTTATGAGATTTGATTTGTTAAATGCATGTTTTAACAGACATTTGATTTTTTATCACCAAGGTTCTCCATTCTTGTATCACCAAGGTGATGAAAAATGTGCATTATGTTCTCCTTAATGGTGCAGTTATAATTCAAAGGAAGAAACTTCTTTTAGTAAGGCATACTATGTTATCTGGTATTTGTATGATTCTTGTTAGGCATCTTGAAATATTACAAAGTTTATCAACACCCTTTGGTGTGGATACAGACGTCTATAGGGTGTGAGGCCACACAACTCCATCACTTTTGGGGCTATTCTCATGTAAAAATCAGCATTCACTTCATTTTACTCTTTTCTTAGGTTGTGGGCAGTGTCAGAGGCCAGTCCGACAAGATGGCAACCAGTCGTTGTGTGCGGCTGATGTTAATCACCATGGCCAATGATTTGAAAGAGGTTTGGATTTCAGAGCAACCATTTCTGCTGGTAACATATTTGTGGCAATATATGCCAACCTGGGCCTGGTGGCTAAGCAACAAGTTAGGAAAGGAGAGGTTTCTGGTAAGAGCAATTTATATATTTCTTAGTAATACGTATCAATCTTAAATTATAAAATCTTCAGCTTCTTAGAACACTTTCTTGCTAATTCTCCCCCAATCTCACCATATAAAAATAAAAAGTATGCAAAGTATTCTATCCCCATAGGTATCTGATGTGTTACTGTAAATGATCACTAGTCTTGGAGAAATCACTTTGCAGTCGAAAGACTGACATTGATTCTCTCCCACTTAACCTCTGACCGATGTATGTGTCGCCACAGTGGCCTTTCCCCATTGCTTCTCCTTCCGACTCCTGC